TTTTTTTTTTTTTTTTTTCCAAAGCAATTATACATGATTTCCAAAAACAATGCCATAATTGACGAGAAGGAATGTTTGCTTTTTTTTTTTCTCTTTTTTTTATATATGAGGAAATACAGAAAAAAAAAAAAGAGAGAACTCACAAAAACACATATATATATATATATATATTTTTCCTTTTTTTTTTTAAAAAAAAAACAACAAAGAAAGAAAGAAAGAAAGAAAGAAAAGAAAAAAAAAACACAAGATAACGTTACAAAGTCCATGGAATGATTGTTCTTCCCAAGTGAAGTTGTTTGGGTTTGAGTCTATCACGTGGTATTGACTGTTGTTGTTGTTGTCGCTCTGGTCTCTCACTACTTGTGGGCTGTGAAGGGCTGCTGCTCTCCTCTCCTGTCCGCATCACACATTTTCCCAACGCCGTAATGGGTGAAATATGCCGAAGATCAAATGCGGCCACTTGACGAGATCGTTTAATACACGCCACTGTACGCCGTTCAATAAAGCCAAGACTTCCCATTGCATACCACTGTGTCTCCATAACAGTTGTGCGACTTCCACTTTCCTCACCTTTTCCCAAATCATTACATCGCAGACGAAATTGGGCTGTGTTTTCACAGGCTCTTTGCAATCGGGCCACGGCTGTGGCTTGTCGTGGGCCAACCACACTGGCCAGGGTTTCACTGCAGGTATCTCCTTTGGGCTTTTTAACTCCCGTTGTGTCTATGGGAGATGGTGTAGACATGAGGGTTTCTGCAAAAGATGGTCCAGACGCGTTCACAGGTAAGAGAGGACTATTTGTATTTGTATGTTTATGTGTTTGGGAAAGTGCCGTCGTCGTCGTGGTGAAAGCATTTGTAGTTTGTGGTGAAAAAGAAGTTGCCGTCCCACTCATTCCACCCATTCCCGTTCCTGTCTCAGATATACCAATCACTTGTCCAGCAGGAGTTGAAGTCTGTGTGGTATTATAAGAAGAGGAAGTTGTGTAATTATTAGGGGCTGGAGTAACCGTGGGTGTATCAGTGGAACGGGCACCGCGAAATTTTAATGCTACTAACTCTCGACGTACAGAGCGTACGGTTAAGTTATCCGGAAGTTCTGCGATATGTGAACGACATGTGATATTTCTATCCGGGGAAGTCTTTCCTGTTCGTCGTGTTAAATGCAATCGTGACTGTGAATGGGAATGAGAATACGAATGAGAATGAGAATGAGAATGAGAATGAGACTCTTGTCGTTGATATTGATTTGGTTCATGTGGCTGTCTTGGATCCACCACGTCCAGAGAAGTAGATTCATACACGGTAGTATTATTAAAGGATGGATGTTGCGTGAATTCCGTATTCACTAATTGCAGTAGTGAAGATGTTTGTAATCCCCGTGCTGAAAAGTCTAATGGTGTTTTATTCAAAACTTCATGTGGAGTTCTCGTTTCTCTTCGTTTCATTGGATTTCTAGTTCGTGGAGATGTACGCATTTGATGCATATAATGTCTGGCCGCAGGAGCACTATAGCCTGGTTGCCAAGACATTAAAGCCGGTGTTAATTTTCCACATTCGGGCGTTGTGTGCGCAAAAAAATCACAGGCTTGTGTAGACATCGCAAAGGGATGATGATGACCACCACCACCACCACCACCACCAAAACGTTGACGAGAAGAACGTGCTAAAGGGGCAGTTCGCCAAGTTTCACCGGATATACATTGAGTTTTTATTAAGGGTGAAGTTTCCTTGTCGGTATTATTACTGAGTGAGAGACTGTTCTCAGCAAGAGCGGCTGTCACGGCATCAATAAAAGGTGAAAGTGGAGATGTACTATCATCATGTGTATAAGTAAGAATAGGTGAGGAAAGTGTATTGTTAGCAGCACCTCCAGGTAATCGTGCTTGTAATTGCTCTTCTGCACGTGCTTGCATTGCCAACTGCATAGCTTTTCTCTGATGTAGATACTCACGATATTGTGCGAGTACAGCTTCTCGGTTATCAATACCAGCAATAAGAAAATACAATTCCCCTTTTACACGTCCAATCGTTTCTAGAATTACCGCACGTAATGTATCCACTGTACGAAGAAATAATTGTTCATCATATCCCCATTGTGTCATATTTGGAAATGTCTTCTCTACAAGACCAGAAAGGGCAATTTCTTCTAATTGTTCTTCTGTAAACTTCTCTGGTTTCACCTCGCCTGTCCACTGTACATCTGCAGGTCCTCTCCCGGCTCTCTCGGTGGCGTAACCAACTGCACTCTCACAAATCACAATAGTCGCCCAACTTAGTAAAGTTTCACGATAAGTGTGTACAAAGAAAGAGCGGGCAGACGCTGGTTCAAAAGACATTTGCAAGATAGATTGAAAAAAGGCCTCATATGTTTGAACAACATCCATAAGAAGATCCACAACAACAGGTGAAATATCAACAGTGACTTCATCCATACGGTTTACACGGTTCTGTCTAACACTACGGTAAATAGCTTGCATGATAGATTGTAATGGTAATAACGCTGGCTCTGGATGCATAAAGTTATTCATAGCTGAAAGTACAGTATTGTGTTCTCCTAGAAAAGCATCACGTGCCATAGATTCAGCTTCCGTATTTCCAAATATACTTCTCATTCTTCCCTCTCTCGTACCAGGTGTAGAGTTACCAATACTAAACGGTGCCACACCATAACCACCATAAGCAATAATGAGAATTGGAGCTAATGTAGTGGGACGCCAATCATCCCGTTCTTGCGGTGCAGTTGGTAGTCGAGACTCTGATGCGAAGAGTTGAGCCATGTGTGTAGTGATGTTTGGTTCATTCACACCCTCAACAGCCGCAGAAGCAGGAGCAGGAGAAGAAGGAATAGGGGGCGTAGTCGCAGGAGTAGTAGTAGTAGTATTAGTATTAGTAGTAATAGTAGTAATGTTAGTAACATTACACCCGTTATTACAATGACCATCATCATGATGCGCAACTTCCTGATTACTATTAGTATTATTGTTATTGTTACTATCACTATTATTATTATTATTATTATTATTATTATTATTATTACTATTATTACTAGCACTACGCTGGGGACTCGGACTCAGATGATGCTGACGATAATGATTATCATTTACAGGTGATCCACTTCTCTTCGTACATGGTGATGGACGTCTCCAGAGGGCGATATCACGTGCAGTACGGAGTGGGAGTCCACACGCATGCAAAGGTGGACGCTGCATCATTGGTACGGTGGAGGAAAGCCAAATTCCCTTTCGAAGAGCCACACTTTGTAGTGCCTGTGTAAGAGACATGGAATCCTGATGAAGAAAGTAACACTCCCCATCATTTCTCTCTACTTCACGAAGAGGTGAAAAATTCGTAATATAAGACTTATTTGCAGTACTTTTACGATGTAATCCATCATCTCGTGTAAAGGCGGATGCAGCTCCTGTTCTTGTGGGAGTAGTTCTTGGTGTTGGGATGGGCGTTGCGTGATGGCTGTTTCTCACTGGTGATGGTGTTTGTGGAATAGGGGAAGATAAAACCCCTTCCTCTCTCTTTCTCGGTGTAGTGGCTGGTCTACCTGTATTTCCTTCATTTGTATTGGCATTATTATTAGTATTTGTACTATAATTAGTATTATGATCATTTGTAGGATTATGATTACGATTAGGAGTAGTAGTAGTAGTAGTAGTACTAGTAGCAGGAGGAGGAGGAGGAGGAGGAGAAGAAGAATGATGATTATTTGATTTTGCCGCTGCTGCCGCACATCGAGCCCGTCGTCTGACGGTTCGATAATCCACCGGATCGCCTTCATACAATTCCACCGGCAAAGCCCGCATGAGTGTATACGTTACCAGCCGAGCAGTGGCTTCTGCACACTGTTGTAATGCCGTGTCGTTGGCCAGACACTCCAACAACTGCACCACGTGACTATGTGGAGTGGCGCCGACTTGTTTGTCGAAGAGAGCCTCACTGGCCCCAATGAGTTCCTCAAAGGGATTATTATTATTATTATTATTATTATTATTATTATTATTATTGTGAAAACCCCCCATGGGATTTAATGATGAATGATCCCCTTGACCTCCTCCCATACCATTACTATTACTATTATTAGTAGAATGATGATAAGGTGATGGATTGTTTGGATTGTGAAGAGATGATTTGGAAGGTCCAGAGGCCCGTTCAATACTCGCGAGGACTTTCAACATATGGCGTCTTACTGTCTCTGTGCGACGTTCCTTTTCCACCGCTACTGAAATCGCATCCGCTGCGGCACTGATATTACTATTCTCATCTCTCTTCTCTTGATCCTCTTCTTCCTCTTCTTCTTCTAATTCTGGTTCTTGTTGGCGGAGCTCATGACGGAACATGGGCGGCAGGAAATCTTCACTTTCGTGCTCTTCTTCTTCATCTTCTTCTTCTTCTTCCTCGCCCTCTTCTCCATCACCTTCATCTGTTGATTCGTTCCTCCAGGGAATAGATAATGTGAAATCTAGTCTTCGACGCCCACTCTCATCTTGCCTCGTTGTTGATCGAAGACTCCCTTCATACAAACATGATGTAAATGGCCGTTGTTGTTGTTGTTGTTGTTGTTGTTGTTGTTCTTTTCTGTCGATTTCTGAGGTTGTAAGTGGTCGCATTTCCGGTACATCATACGACTCCTCTGCAAATGAATGTGTAGATCGATTATAGTGTTTTTCATAGTCATTCACTAAACGAGAGAGTAATACATGTAAATGACCCTCCTCATTTGTTCCACTACTATGGGATTGAGAAGGCATAGCCAAGAAACCCTTTTCTTCCTCCTCCTCTACACTTCCATACAACTCTCCTATTGTAACCATACTAGGTCTAATGCCTCTATTCATCGTAGTAGCATTAGCATCTACCGTCGCCAGTGTGGAATTGGCCCTATCACTATTCACAACCACAACCGCTGCAGCTCCAGCACCAGAAGAAGAAGTCCCATCAATGGTAATGGTATTAGCGGTGGGTGGATTCCCTGTGGCTGCGGTTGTACTCGTGGATGGCAGTGATCGTGTGGGTTGTCCAGCCGTAGAGTCTCGTGAGAGAATATCACGGGCGGCGTAATATGCATACAGTCGTTCCCGCCGTTCACGTGGGGTTGGGCGGACATAACGTACAATTGGCTGGGGAAGTGCTTTTAATTTCGCCGCCTTCTCCGCAGCTCCTGCAGCAGCAGCGGCTGAGAAGGAAACGGGAGTTGTGATGTTTCGTGTGGGAGTTGTGGTTACTGGAGTGAGGCCGTTTGGTTTACTCCGCTGCACACAAAGGGCATCGTCAATACGAGTTCTATCACCGTCAGTAGTCATGAACTCTATTTTTTTTTTTTTTTTCCTTTTTATTATTTCCTTCTCAATAAGGACCAAATATATATATATATATAGATAGATAGATAGATAGATATATAGATATATAGATATATACGTCTATAAATAGATATATATATATATACGGTCTGGATAGTGAGATCTTTCCTTTTTTTTTTTTTCTTTCTTTCTTTCACACTCCTTCTTTTGTTTCTTCTTCTGATCTTTGTTGCTGTTGTGTTTAGAAACACCCCCTAGCTACTGGATATGGTATGGTGTTGAAAAACAAACAAACAAAGAAATAACCAAATAAGGAAACTAATTTCTCCTTATACTACTACTCTCTTTCCTTATTTATTTCCTTTTTTGCGGATTGTTTTTTTTTTTTTTATTGATTCGTTTTCGTTTGCGTTTGCCTTATCGGTTTCTGTTTTTTTTTTTTTTTTGCTTTCTTGTTCCTTTTCAGTCTCTTCTTATTGTGCAAAGTAAAAAAGAAGATAAGGGAGGAGACAACACGTCATTCTTCCGTTAATATCATCATTAGCCCCCCAAATTGAAAGAAGAGAGAAAGAGAGAGAGAGAGAGAGCACAATAATAATAATAATAATAATAATAATAATAACAATAACAATAGTAATGATAATGATAATAAAAATGATCGTAATAATAATAATAATAATAATAATAACAATAGTAATGATAATGATAATAAAAATGACTGTAATAATGATAATGATAATGATAATAAAAATGACCGCAATAATAATAATGATAATGATAATAGTAATGATAATAAATGGCAATACAGATAGATTGATAAATGGATTGATACACCAATAGTACCAAAACGCAGGGAAAAGAAAACGGGCTGAACTTTTTACACAAATAGAAAAAAAAAAAACAGATATTCGTTATTTTCTCACTCATTTCAATCATAATACTTTCCTTTTTTTCTTCTTTCCTTATCTTCCCCTCTCGTTCTCTCTTTAAGCAGTCGAATAAAGAAGTATATATATATATATATACTTTTCGCTTTTTTTTTTTTTTTTTCCTCTCTCGTTCACCTTTTAATCTGTATGTAATTCACATGAATCAGGTGAAATCATGCCCAGTTGCAGCAGTAACAATGATATTAGAAGCAAAGTTTATACTTAGAATACCCTAGCCTTACTCCCTCTTTAAAGAAATAAAACACAAGAGAAAAAATATTTTGTTTCCATGATTGTTCAAACAAGTTTTGATGCATTATTTACATATCTCTATCAAATCTTTCCCCGATGATGATTGCTAATACATAACAGAAACTA